TCTCCTCTCCCTCCTCTACCTCCTCTCCTCTCCTCTCCCTCCTCTACCTCCTCTCCTCTCCCTCCTCTCCTCTCCCTCCTCTCCTCTCCCTCCTCTCCTCTACCTCCTCTCCTCTCCCTCCCTCCTCTCCCTCCTCTCCTCTCCCTCCTCTCCTCTCCCTCCTCTCCTCTCCCTCCTCTCCTCGTATTCCCCTCCTCGGCCTTCCCTCCTCCCTCTCGCCTCTTCACTCCCTCTCCTCACGCGAGTCTTCAAGCAGAGGGAACGTTCGACAGCCTCCTCCGGCGCCTGACGCGGCCTCGCCACGCAGCCGGGGACCCCCCCCCCTCATTTCATTTTGTTCGCCTTGCACAATGTGTGTGTGAGTGTGTGCACTATGTATGCATATGTGCACACACACATATGTGCACATACACACACACATGTGCACACACACATACACACAGATAATATGTATATATGTATATATATATATATATATATATATATATATATATATATATATATATATATATATATATATGTATATATATATATATATATATATATATATATGTATATATATATATATATGTATATATATATATGTATGTGTGTATGTATATATATATATATATATATATATATATATATATATATATATATATATATATATATATATATGCATATATGTGTATACATACATACATATATATGTATGTATATTTATGTATATATATATATATATATATATATATATATATATATATATATATATATATATATACATATATATACATAAACACATATATACATATACGTGTATATATATGTATGCAATATATATATATATATATATATATATATATATATATATATATATATATATATATATATGTATATCTTATATATATATGTGTGTGTGTGTGTGTGTGTGTGTGTGTGTGTGTGTGTGTGTGTGTGTGTGTGTGTGCGTGTGTGCGTGTGTGTGGTGTATATCTTTTTTATCTATATATATACACATACATATATATATTTATATTCATATATACATATATATGCATATATATACACAAACACATATGTATATATATATATATATATATATATATATATATATATATATATATATATATGTATATATATATATATATATATATATATATATATATATATACATATATATATATATATATATATATATATATACATATATATATATATATATATATATATATATATATATATATATATATATATATATATATATATATATATATATATATGTGTGTGTGTGTGTGTGTGTGTGTGAGAGTACGTGCGTGCGTGCACGTGTGCATGTGTGTGTGCGTGTGTGTGTGTGTGTGCGTGTGTGTACGTACATATATATGCAAATAAGACACACACAATAAATAGACAGATAATTAAATATATGAATGTCTGTGGCTGTTTTTCGACAAGCACCAACCCGTCTCGAAAGTCATACATATTTTCATTGACTCCTAAAACAAACACCAGCCTACGAAATGCAACCAACGGAAATCTTAAGAGCGATAGGTCACGATCATGTTATGTGATATCTAAAGCTAAAACGGTTAATGAATTAGACTGACATGAGTTGTACACTTATGATTTATTACAATCAGACATCAAGTCAGGTTTCAGTGTTTATGGAATAGCAATGTTTAGGAAGTGGAGTTGGTTTGACATGCACGTATTTCATTTTCTTGTAACTGTTCCGCGAACGTGTGTGTGTGTGTGTGTGTGCGTGTGTGTGTGTGTGTGTGTGTGTGTGTGTGTATGTGCGTGTGTGTGTGTGTGTATGTGTGTGTGTGTGTGTATCTGTGTGTGTGTGTGTGTGTGTGTGCATCTTAAGATTAAATAATCTAGACAAATTTTTTCTAACAATATTTCATTCGACTAAAAAAAAAACTTATTTTGTCTTAATTTTTCGAGCTTTAAACATCAGTAAATTATATAACATGAGTAAATATTGGACAGAAAGCCGAAATATGAAATCAATTTTCATGTCAAAAATCACTGAATTTTACTGACTAGAATAATATCTAAAAAATCTTTCAAAGTTGACTTACTGTGAACTTCATAAAACACAAAACACATGTAATGTCATTTGTCACCAAACCAATCCACTTAAGTGTTTAGATCCCTGACAATGACACTTGTATTGTCAAACCAACGAATGGAAGTGCTTTCGTCATTCTTAACACCGTATGTATCACCAAACAATCTATTCAGTTTCTGACGATAACTTCAAAAGTTATTACTATTATTATTATTATTATTATTATTACAAATTGTAAATCTTAGCCGACTCACAATAGTGTTCTGTAACAAACTTTTGATTTTCGAACACAAGAGATTTGACTAATCAAATTAAGCTAATCTTGGAAATAATGAGATTGTTTGACGGCAATCATGATCGATAATGGTCTTTAAACAACATGGAATCCAGGAAACGTTGGTCCAGAGATACGCAACTAGTTTGCCATTCGCGATATGACAC